AAAGAGAAGAGAAGAAGAGAGGTGAACGAGAGCTGACAGTCGAACGAACGGGTCAAGATCGGGAGAGAGAGACTGACTGAAGTATAATCAGGTTTCGACTGAGTCCGCGGCCGCGATGTAATAACAGTAATCCCTCCCTGCGTCGGTAATTTGGCCGTTCGCTCAAAAACTCCAAATTATAGAAGCTGCTGTCATTAGGCCGCGGCGGGCAACGTGCGCGCGCAGCATCGCGCTCTCTCTCTTTCTCCCGCTTCCTCGAACCCGACAGAATTTTGGGGAAACTCCCGACTGCGGGTTCATGTCCGATCGTTAGCGATAAAGTTCTCTTGACGTTGACAAACCCCGCGGCCTCCTGGACATTCCACGAGGTTCCTTCGAACTTCGATGATTCCACGCCGCGGGTACTTCTTGTTAGAGTTAAGTAGCTGTCAAAGAGAGGCCTGTGTGATGCGATTTTCGAAGTGAAAGATAATTGGCAGGAGACGGGCAAAGTGTCGAAAAACGAGAAAACCGATGGAGCGAAAATAGTATAAGTTATTTTATGATCGCGCTTCATTGATATATACAATATATTAAATTGATCATCGAAATTATCAATTTTTAGAATTTGAATTTTGCAATTTGCTCGATGATTAATAAAAATATTTTTATACAAAAAAATCAATATTTTCTGAATCTCAAATTAATATATACCAATTTTTATCCATTAATTAAAGCAATATTAAAAATTGTACACGCGCTAAGCACGATATAACGTCTGTCATAATTTATTCGCGCATTCGAGACAAAGCGATATACGGAGAGCTTCGAAGCGGAATGAGACGTTCTATAGACTTGTGTATCTCAAAAGTGCATTCGCCTAGGACCAACGGTGCCCGAGGGAAGGACTTTTTCGAGCGAGGGAGATCCCAAGGAGCTGAAGCAAGAAGAAGAAACGCGGGGAACGAACCAGCCTGCGGGCATTTTCTGGCATAGAATCTCTCCCTGCCTCTTTCCGGCCCTCTTGTATCGTATCAAAAAGGCGACTCTCTCAAGAGGAAGGAATGGGAGGAAGATCGGCGATCGTTGCCCGTATGCCTCGAACGAAAGCGTTTAAAACTCCATTACGGTTCGTTCGTGATCCTCGCGATCACGGGGTACGCTCTTCACTTCGGCGGTACCTTACGTGAACTGGAAAAGGGTTCGACCGATTACTCAACGTGACACGTTGGTCCCGAAGCTACGGGGGAGGAAAAAGAAGAGAAGAGAGCCGCCTTCGGTGTCGAGGCAAACTGACGCCTGTCGAGTCTGCGATCGCGATCGTCGCGAGATCGTAACCCTTTTAAATAAATGCCCGAACTGACTTTAAATGCCCGCAGCGATTCTTAAAGAAACACATACCAGTGATCATTAAGCTTTATAATGGTTACTAATGCTTCGTATCTCTTTTAAGATACATTAAAGTTGCAATAACGAGCAATCGTCGATGAATTATTTGGAAAAAGCGCAATGTTTTTCTGTCAAAATTAGCGTCAGTTGATGAGAACGTTTTACAATTGAAAATATGTTGAGTATAATCATGAGATGACATTATTAATTCAAAATTCATTTCAAATATATAATAGCACTGTGTCTGAAATAATATTAATCACTGACGATCGTAAACTCAGGACGCATAATTAAAATGAACACACATTTTATTATAACGCATACTGTTACGTAATAATATCCGCGTATCTTCTTAAAAGTCGTTTATCTAAATAATTAAATGGCTTCTTTTGAAATCCACAAAAGTTTACGAAACAGTGACCGCTGTTTCTTTTTTAATCACATTTCCCGCAAGTGAGAGAAAATGCAAGGAATAAAAATCCCGAACGGAGAATACGAGAGACGACCTTCGGAAATTAATTCAACAGATAAATCACGCCTTCTCCGCCTCGCGATACTACTTTATGAAGACATTCAAATGAATCCAGTAAGTACGGATGCGTAATACGAAGTGGTTGGAAGTTAATGGGCTACCCCGCGTATACAAGTACGTATCAGTGGCTAGCCTTCGCACAGGTTCGCCTTGAATCCCCGACGACTATCGCGAAGTTGCACGGTCTGCATTTGGGAATAAGCGCGATGGACGATGAGTCGCGGCCCGTCGCCGAGTTTCGTACAATCGCGATTCAGCATAATTCCGAGGGGGAGTTAACAAGGTTTGCGGAAGACGGGAGACGTCTTGGAAGAGAAGAAGAGACAGAGAGAGAGAGAGTCTTCCGCTTCTGCGCAATCAGCCGAAACCGCTCCGTCTCTGTCGGCTTAGCGGCCGACTACTCTGGGTGCGTCTCTTCTTTGATGCATTGAATGCAACGTATACGCGATACTCGGCAGCAACCCCTTCGTACGCACGCACGCACTCAACCAAACACGTACGTACGTACACGTGCGCAGCGAGAGTCGCGTGCTTGCGAGCGAGAAGGAAGAAACACCTGGAGCATACGAGATCGTCGCGAGAGGATTAAGAGCTTACCAGATTGCTGCAGATTGCCTTAATTTCTCAAGCAACCCGAGTGAAAAAATTCCCCGACGCGCAACTAACGCAATAAAATAGGTACGAATGAAATGCGACGTGCCCGGTGCTTTTTGACTTTAACCGACGGCGCGATTCTTTTGAAGAAAGCTCGCGAAAATCGAGGTCTTAAGCATGAAACGTCAAGGAGATCATATTTCAGAAAAAGACATCTCCTCGTCAATCATCGTTTCAACAGTTAAATGTCATATGCAAAAAAATATACATTTGTCGATAAAAAATTACACATTTTTAAATGCTACGATATGAAAATAAATATAATATGCATTATCAAATATTTAAAAAATTTTCCAGAAAAAGAAATCTCGCCAATGACCGTTTTAAAAATTAAATGTCATATGCAAAAAAAGTAGAATACATTTGTCGATAGAAAATTGCACATTTCTAAATGTTTCGATATTCAATGGAAATAAACATATGAGTATCAGAATGAGTATTTTTAAAATGGAGTTCCCTGCAAGTTTAAGCGTTTGTCCGATCATTTACAGAGATTTGCCAACATACATTATTTTCCAAAGCTCCATCAAACTACCGAAATTGCGGAAGCAACAGCACAACTGAATTCCTATGTAAGTACTACCAATCTTAATTCCATTAACGCACGCGAGCTAGATTAAAAGTAACGAAACTTTTAGCCATCAATTTAATTAAATCGCTCAAGTAGTACTAGCATAACAAAACATTTTTTAAATAAATTACAAATTTTGATATTTCCTTTTTATATTTTCAACTATGCGTTTCTCATTATTTTTAACATTACGATTCTTATGACATCTGTGACTCTTGATGCGCTTTTCTCGACCAAAAAAATTGCATTCAAATTAAAATATACTGCGAAACAAATAATTGTCGATCCACGTGATTTGTCAATCATGCGAATACATGTATCTGCGCGGATAAGAGTTTTCATTAAAAAGTTATTCGGATAAATCGTGATGCAACCGCATCTAGAAAAACTAAATTGGCGTGAGACGGACGACACAAAGAAGGAGCATCATACACATTTGGTTGATACGAGCTCGAGCACACGTGCTCACCAGAACAAACAAACACGCGACCGTCTTATTCCGGCCATCATTGTTAATAAATAACCGTATCTCGTCTGACAAATCACAAATGATCGTTTGCGGGCTTCTATCTAATTCGCTACATATGCAGAGGAAACAACATTTTGTGGCGACCCGTGCACCTGCAATTTTGTCGGTCATCAGTCGCAACATTATGAACCTAACAACGATATCTTTTGTGATGCGCATCTATTACTTGTGATGCCTTCAAAACCTGCATCGCGACATTGAATGCTATTTCTTTTTGCAATAAAAAGATTATTTTAATCGCGATACAAGATTTATTTTTATTTCGAAATATATATCTCTATCTTAAAAGAAAAAATTTTAAATATCAATCTGTTTATAGATATATCTATTATTGAAAATTTTAAGATATAACTTTGAATATATAAATCCAAAATTTGGTACACACTACTGTCAAACAAATATGATGAAATTAGAATTAAAGTTTCGTTACTTTTTATTTTTCTCCAACATAAAATAAAGAGGAAGCAAGCTTAAATATTAATTCGATCGTCTTCAGAATATAAAATTCTAATAGCTTGCGATAATAATGGGTCAATCATGAAATAAATTGAATAGATATGTTGTCAAATATTTTACACGACGAAAGAGACAGAAAATTCAGCTATATAATTGAGTTCATAGCTATATAATTAAATTCGACTAAATAATTAAATAAAAAATATGTGGTCAGATGATTAATGATACAAATCTAAATATAAGCGTGTGTGCACGTATAAAGTGCTTTCGCGCAGTTCGCACAAGAAAGAATGGTTTAGCTGAATGAAAGTATGTTTAGGTGAATCAGTCGTCAACATTAAAAGCAAACGCGCAACTTTACGTGTAAACACTCGGCCTCACTCTCATTAACGCGAACTTTAGACGCGTGAATTATATATGCGTTTCGAATAGCGATACTTTGGAACCTAATTAATCCTATGGACTTTCGTTACTTCGATAATTTTTTTCAATTTATAAAGAATCAATTAGATGAATCAATGACAAAATCAATTTTGAAATTTTTACAAAGCTTTTTATACTTTATATTAAAATCACTTCTTTTCTTCACATCATAATTTAATATTCAAAAAATCGTATATACATATGTGTTTCTATAATTTATATTTGCAAGATAGATATCTCTTTTCATTGTCGAAAATTCTTCTTTACGTCATAAATTAAAGTTTAAATTATATCAGTCTAATTTTTCAATACACATTCCTAATCCTGAATATTTATTAAACAGAGAGATATAATTTAAATTTAAATTGTTCCGCTATAACAGAAAGACACCAAAGAGTATTCCGCGTGTATAGTAGCCTTCCGCCCGAAACCCAAAATATGTTAACACCTCGTGTTCTCGTACCGACCTTTTTCCGTTCCGACGCCGTCTCTTGGTGGCGTAGACGGTCCCCAGCTGGCTCATGGCGACGGGGTTGTTGGGGCCCGACGCCGACGTCGGGGTCGGCACCGGCGCCGATGTGGGCGTCATCGCGGGATCAACGATGTGGGGCTGAGGGTGAGTGGCGGTCAGGGTGAGTTGCGTTCCCGGGGGATAACATGCCGCTGTCACGTAATCCGTCGGCGCGTGGGACGCGGTCGGCGGTCCACAGATCCCGGCGATCCCCGGTGTACCGCCGCCCCCGCCTCCTCCCCCTCCGCCGCCACCACCACCGGCACCACCGATACCGACGACACCACCACCACCACCACCCCCGACCACCCCCAGCCCCGCCGAGGCGGCTCTGTCCAGCGCGTACACCGTGCAGACCGTGACACCCCTTGCGACGACGCTACGTCATCCTCTGTCACTGTCGGTGCCACTACCAGCCCAGCTGTTGGCGCGTCAGCGAGGCACTTGCTCCGGATGACACCGCCGTACGTCGATTACGACGCGGCAGCTGCGACAGCTGTCCGCGAACTCGCCCTGTCGAGCGACGACGTCGCTATACTTGTGCAATGTCCTCCGCGAAGGTCGCTTTGACTTTGGATCAGTGTCAGAGATATTATCGTATACCGCCGCGAAATCGCGCACAGGAGATCACACGTTCGTTCTTCGAAATTTCATGAAACGTCACCTGGCGTCGTTGGAAGATTCCCGCAGTCAACCCGACTCTGCTGCGGTCGACTCGTCGCGATGATGATGATGATTCTCGACATCAACGTGAGATTCGCGATACACTGTACATCGGGTAAATCCATCTCCTTCGCTTCGTTACCACGTGTTCACTGTCACTGGAGAATCGCGACGCGCCATCGACGGTAGATCACGAGTCATTCACAACCCCAGAACTTATCGGACATATACGCACTAACGTAGAACGTCAAAACGTTCGAGGATCAGCGAATCAATGACACAGTCTCGGGATAACACTTGAGCAATAATGACGTATACGATTATTATCGAAAGATGGAAACTCGCTGGATGATTTTCACGGATTATGTTATTCCTCACTGCAGATCCAGATGATAAATTTCACTCTCACTCAGATTAATGTCATTCGTGTCGTCGCGTGACGTCGCGGTACTACATATCTGACCAGGACACACCTGAGACATCCATAGGGTTGAGAATCAAGAACTCTTGTCACACGATTCGAAAACAACTTCCCGATTCGGCCACGTCACGTGTGCGCGAAAACTGAACCTACCCTCCCTCCAAGTCGATCCCTCCCTTCCTGTCTGTCTGTCGCTAACGGGAGAGAGAAGGTCCCTCTTTTCCCCTTCTCCCGATCGAGAACACACTCTTTCACCCTCACGAGATCCGTCGGAGTCGACTGACACGCAGAGATCCGTCCCAGATCCTATCCTATTTTGCTCGACGACGAGCAACCGGAGAAGCCAAAGGATCTAGCGGCGAACGCGATGCGTTTGACAGATGGGTGACAGGACCCTCGTGCATTGACAGATTCGAAGCAGGCAGGTTAAGCCGGATCGAGCGCGGACGTTGACGGTGCTCGCCTTGTAGAAGCGTGTCGTGTACTGGCGTAGGGTCTGCCGGGCGTAGCATAAGTCGGGAGAGTGTGGCATAGATCGGAGAGAGAGTGGAGGCGAACAGGCCAGCCAAGTGGTGGTGGGTTCGGCACAAAGGAGTAACCGACCGTAGGTCGACCGACCAGGCTTCTATACGCACTGTGATGCAAAATTACCTCTCTAATCCCCCACCCCCGCATGCCACGCCCACGAAAGAGACGAAGGGACCAATCGCGCCGCCAGCATGGCGCTACCAACTTAACCATGCCGCAGAAACACAAAGTGAACGATACCATCGCGCGCGCCTCTCGAGATTCCACCTACTCTTCCTTCTTCCTCCGCGCGTCCTCCACCTTGCAACGAGTTCGCGAACTCCTGGACGTGAGCGTCCTATCCTGCACCCGGAGACGCGATCGCATTCCACCATACCGAATATTAAAAAATTGTTGATATTTCTTTGTGCCGGGGGGAGAAGAGACGAGGAAGGTTATAAAGTATTTCGGTATGTTCTTCAAAAATGGAAACGATGTTGAAACATTTTGTTGTGTGAAACACAGGTAAGTACTGTCATAAAATAGAAAGTGAATAAAATGATAATAATTTACAAAAATGGATCGATTCTTTTTCACGTATAGTATATAGGGTATAAATTCCCCTGATTCCACATGTTCTTGGAATTACATAGATATTAAAATATGGTTAATATTTCTATGTTAGAAGGGAAGAGAAGAAACTACAAATAATGATATACTTCGGTATGTTTTCCAAGAATGAAAACAATGTTGAGAAATTTTTGAAACACAGATAAATACTGTCATAAAATAGAATAAATGAAATAATAATCATTTTTATACAGACACTTATACCTATCATGGTTTTTTTTTTTAATTACGCGAATATCGTTTTTGACTTTAATGTGTAGGTATATTTATTAAGTCAACTGAAAACTTTAAATATTTTTATCTTGTAATTTATTGAATAAAAAGACTACATTATTTTTCCACGTAGTCTTCATGACATGCAATACAAGTGTTTCAGTGCTTGGGAAGTACATGGATATCTCTAGAACAAAATCTTTTATCTGAGAGCGTAGGCACTCATGCACTGCCTGCTTCACTTCTTCGTCGGATCTAATGGTCGATTCGTATCACTGAATGAAAATTACAAAAATGAGCGAATAGAAAATTTATAATTTTATTGGTCCAAATTTAATAAATTTGCTCATTGTAATTTTTAGAAGGGACTCTCTGAAACCTGAGGAAAACAGTGCATAAGTGCCTATGCTCTCAAGTTTATAAGTAAAGAGTTTTTTCTAGAGAAATTCATGTACTTTCAAAGCGTTGGAGCACTGCGCATCATGGAGATTACGTAAAAAAAATAATGTAGGTGTGCAGTTTTTGTATTCAATATATTACGACATAAAAATAATTAAGATTTTCAGGTGACTCGCCTTAATATAAAAATATTCGTTCATTCACGTTTCACGCGTGTTTTTTCCATACAAAACCAAGTCAAAGTTATACACGTTGTTGCTTTCTTTATACGAAATATAAAATCCAACGTTTTTTATACATTATTATACATATATAACATTATTCAATATAATGTTATTTAATATATTATTATGTAATATATATATTATTTTAATATTATAATAAATATATTTCGTACAGAAAACAAAGAGTGGAGATAAAGTCGCGGTTTGCGCGAAAAACAGCGAAGTAGACAATAATTATTATCAAAAATCCATAAAGGCGCAAATTTATATGCATATGCAGACATACGTTGTCGACTTTATTGTTAAAAGTTTAATCGAACTGAATTAATCGTGCTTACAAACTAAATTGTAATTATAGCTTCCCGTAAAATATAAATAAATGTACGATAAATATATGTAATAAAGTTTTATCAAATTTTTGTTTTAAATTTTATGAGACTGACGTATTGTGCTATAGCGTGCTTCTTCATTCCTCTGCAAAATTCTTATGCGCAAGTGTGAAATGTATTATGCTATGTGCGGCTTGTATATAAGTACTAACTGCGCGAATAATGCAAATGACTCTCGACTCATGTAATTCTCGCAGTAGATTAATTTTTGCATCGACAAACGTCAAACATCCGTACATCGGATCCATGTTCTAAAGGAACATATACTTATAAAGGTCATAAATGTCATGCATAAATATTATTCGCGTAAAGAAAAATGCATGTTCAATATGTGACGCAATTTATTAATAAGATAGAAAATTCTCATTATAATATTTATGAGAGCAGAATACAAAAAATGTAGCATAAATATGTGACAATTAACAAATTAGGCAAATCTCTTTTTAAATTATTTATCTTTTTATATTATAATAAGTCTTCGAAGCCAATAAATTGCCATAAATTATTCTTAGAAGCGAGAAATATATTATTCTGCCAATACTATAGTTTTATTAAAAATCCATAAATCATTAGTGCTTAATAAAAACTGCTTCTCATTATATATATTTGCATATAATGATGATGTCTGATATTTCACAGCAAGGGCAAATGTGAATTGCGTACGTTACAAGTAGATTTTCACGTGTGCGCTGTCGTAATTCTTATAACAATGAGAGAATACGTAAGCTAGCTTCTCACAGTTTTTCCGTGGCAAGTAAAATCTGGAAAAGTTCTTACAACATCACGTACTAATTCCTAGAACTATAAAAATTCTTCTCAGATTTGAAAAGTAAATATTTTATTTATGCTAAAAAGAAAACACATTTTTGGGGTAATTTATAATCCCATACAATACTCGTTATATCAAATTTTTGAAAAAGTATTAATTATGAATTTAATTTTCTCTCAATATAATTTTTTTTTAATTTTTTGAGTAATTAAGACGGTACCAATGGTTTAATAAATGTTTTTAAAGTAATTTCAAATCAATATATTTTTGCAAAATTATGTATAATAATTAGGATAGAAATGAGAACACATACATATATTGTGTGTTTAATTTCCCAATTTTCGCAATTTCCCTTTTCTTGTTCTGAATTTCGATGAAAAAAATCTACTGCTTTTTAAAGTATATCTTGACTTATTTGAAGGCAATTTTATTGGCATCGTATGTGAAATAGACTTGAAAAATACTTTTCCGTTTCAATGGTACGACGAATAAGTAATACAATTTACTTTTCGTGAAGATATGGTAAATATTTTTCGTGAATCGATTAAAATATATTAGAATATTATTTTGATGAAAATTGTTTTAAGAATAAATATCTCACATTTTTCTTATACTTGATACTAATATTATGCAGTTAATAATGCAAGTTTTTATTTACGCTCTAGAATTACAGATGTAATTTAGTATATTTTCCAATATTTATATTTTAGTTGAATGGTCACAACTGCTCTGCAAAAAGTATACGAATGAAAAGAGATATCTTATTTTGATATTATAAATACTTTTGAATTATTGCAATTTATAATTTATCAAATTGTAATTATTAATAATAGTACATATCTCTTCACAATTGAAAATTCAAATTTCAAAAATGTATCTTTTCCTCATTTTACATATATATATATATATATATATATTGTATATATTTTTTTTTCAAGTATATTTAAATTTAATTAATTTTATTTATTTTGATGGACTTGTATAT